GCCATTCATTTACGAATGTGATTGCACTTTAGTTTACATATTTAAATGTTCAGATATTAAGATTTGAATGAGGCAAAATAACATGCTTTTCTCGCAAATATATTGTTATAATCATTTGTTTCAGATGTACTGTAATTATTTTCTGTATAAAAATTAATTTGGTGTTCAAAAAGTCTTTTTTCAAACTTTGTTTTGGGTCATCTCAATCAGGGCCATCTTATACTCGGCCAATACGGTAATCAAATTTATAAAACTAAATCAAACAAAACTATTATAACCTTGGTGCGTGAGAGCCTTTCAGGAAAAAAAAAAGGCTGTTTGAAAGTGTTTCAGTCGTGAGTGTGAGCAAACAATTTTTAGTAACACAATACTGTCAGAGTATTTCTGTTCTGTATGTGTGAGCTTTTCATCAGCGTGTGTGACAATGTTTTAGAAGTAAATCCTGAATAATGTCCCTGAGGCATTTTAAAGGGATCCAGCTCAACATCAGTGCACAAAAGGACGGTGGGTGAAATGAGTGCCATGCATGGGTTACAGACCTTTGCAGGCATCCATATAAGAATGAACACGACTTTGCCCTGCACACAGACTGCACGTGACATGTGCAGAACAAGCTCAAGGCGGCACTGCGGCCTGGCTGCTGACCGGTTTTCGTTCCCCAGTGCTGGATTTTAAATAATAATTCTGCCTGCCATTTTTGAGGAGTCACAGACATGCATCTCATTGTCCATCCATTATCCGAGCCGCTTCATCCTCAGGAGGGTCGCGGGCGTGCTGGAGCCTATCCCAGCCGTCTTCGCCAGTTGGCATTTGTGCATAAAAAAGCAGAGGTATCATCTAAAAGTAAAACATAGAATCTCTGTATTCACTTTGTCATCCACCTACAATTCCCAATTGAGATTAGGTTGAGAGATTTAAAAAAAAAGCAGCATCCACTTCCCCTCATGTTTTTTTTAATGCACTCCAATTGAAATGCTGGATTTAAACATCTGTAGAAGTCTTTATTTTTACTTTTACCGCTGCACAATGCAGCCTCTTGGCCTTCAAGAGGCATTAAGACGACTCCGTCAGATGAGTCGGGGAGATCTCAGGAGAAGAACTGAAGCTCTCAAAAGCTCCCATGAAATCTTAAACACTTTTCTGATGTTTCTTATCTGGGCGGCGGCAGTGGCGCGAAACAAGCTCACAGGTTGCGCTCAGCACAATGCTACAGTGTTGTTCCGTTTGTAGCTTGTTTGAGCTGACACACCAAAATGGAGAAAGGTGACGTGAGGTGACTACGTGGAAATTGTTGAGCTTTTTAACTCCCGTAACATATTGCTCTCAAACTTGTCAGGGATACTGTCTTACAGAAATGATAAATCCAACACAGAACAGCTTAAAGTGAATCTGGCAGGTCATGTGAAGGTCACTCTTGTCGAACCCGTTACCAAAAAGCACAGAGTTGCCAAAAATCCTCTCAGAAGTGAGTTGCTTTTAATGAGCTTATATTTTGAGTTTTGTGTGATATGTTGATGACTTTGGCAGATGCAACACACACACACACACACACACACACACACACACACACACACACACACACACACACACACACACATACAAACAAGTAGATCGACAACTCATGTAAAAGTGCAGTTATCAATTTCGATCTGACTACAAAGCTATTTTGGGAGACAGCCTAATGTGGGATTGAGAGCCTGTGTCTCTTTCTAACTCTCACTTTCTCTCTCTCTGTCACACACACGGACACACACACACACACACACACACACACACACACACACACACACACACACACACACATACAGTATTCTTAGTCACTTTTTCCGCATTTTCCAGCCGCCTGTGGCCATCATCTGGCATCGTGTTGAGCTCCAATTTTCCAGTAAACGTCTACCTCAAAGATGGTTTGAGCCGAATTTCCCCCTTAATGGCATATTAGTCAGCTGTGCTCCGTCGAGAGGAGAGAATGTTTTGTGGTTTTTTGGACCCTTTTTTTGTTGTTGTCATGAGTCTTCGGGTGCGAAGGGTTGAAAACTGGATGGTTTCTGGTAAATTTCGGTGAGAAGTTACAGGGGAATCATATTAAAGCATACATTAGTTATAAAAAATGGGTTTGTCCTAAGCAGACATCGATGTATGATGCAGTTAAAAACCATGACTGTGAAAAATATTTAGAACATTTTCAGTTTGAACATTACTAATCCGCGGCCCAGTGGTCCAGTGGTTTGCGCGTCGACTTCACAGTGCAGAGGTACCGAATTCAATTCCAGCTCCGGCCTTCCTGTGTGGAGTTTGCATGTTCTCCCTGTGCTTGTGTGGGTTTTCTCCGGGTACTCCGGTTTCCTCCCACATTCCAAAAGACATGCATGGCAGGCTGATCGAACACTCCAAATTGTCCTTAGGTGTGAGTGTGAGCGCGGATGGTTGTTCGTCTCTGTGTGCCCTGCGATTGGCTGGCAACCGGTTCAGGGTGTCCCCCGCCTACTGCCCAAAGACCCCCACGACCCTTGTGAGGGTAAGCGGATCGGAAAATGAATGAATGAATATTACTAATCCCTGAAGCCGACCCATTAAAATCATGAACAAAATTGACCAAAAGTCCCATAGATTTTTTTTTCTCAAATAAAGCCACATTCAACATGAAGTATCTTCAACAGTAGCTTCACGTGTTTCTAGCTCAACCTCTGCATTTTTACTCAACCCCAGCTGACAATTTCAAATTCAACTGTGTTTGCATTCAATCTGGTTGTTTTAAAATATGTCCCCAAATGACATTTAAGTTCCCTATTAAGAGCTGAACTTCAATTTTGTACCGGTAATTGCTGGGTTTATTCTCATGAATCTCTTTCAATTTCCAGGGAGCCCGCTGGGACAGTTTCAAATATGAATAAAGGAATAAATGCCTTTTCTGCAAAGGTTCAGGTTTGCTCCTTGTGTATATATTCAATCTGCGTCGCTAACTTAATGCAGTTACATGAATTAGCTTTCAGGATGTTTCAGCGTGAATTGCTAATGCCAAGTGACATAACCTCATCTGTAGCCATTGCAGCCGTTGCACCAGAGGCTTATGAAAAAGGACTCTGTTGTAGATTCCAAGTTTCTGTGGGTTCTTTGCCTTGTTGCTAAGTAATTCATGAGATATTCTCTTCTTTCCAAAATCAAATGGGAAAAGGGCAGACAGAAGTAGAAGAGTGAACAACAAAGAGCCTGGACAATCAAACATTAATACAGCTACTTTGTTTGTATAGGCAACCCCGTGGTTGTCTATGTAATACATTTACTAACATAAAACAGTTGTGCTTAAATTGCAGTGTATTGTCAGATTCCTGCATTTTTGTACACACAATTTTTTTGCAGCTTTACAACAACTTCTCCTGAATTCATCCAAGAAGGCTGCCTAGCTTTATTGCGGGAGTTTGCAGTTGGATTTTTTTTTGTTTGTTTGTTTGTTTGTTTTTTAAGTGTCTTAAGTGTTGTGTTTGTGTTGTATTATTTTGTCATTTTATGTTAACTGTTCCTCTGATGGCGGCGCGGGCACCTGCAGCGGCTCCTCTTGTTGTCTTGTTGTCTGGTTGAAAGGGATGAAATTTCATCTGTGCTGTATGTTGCACATACAGCGCATTTGACAAAGTTGTACTTGACTTGACTTGACTTTAAACAAACAACCATGCCCGAGGAAGAACAACCTATCAGAGACAATAGGCATGACAGAAGTGTGAATCATTTGCAACAGCCTCGCACTGCCCTGTTAGCTTGGGCATCAACTTTGCTCGTTTGGTACCTACTGGGCAAAAGATTAGCAAACAGAAGCCGAGCGACAGAACCTCACGCCGCTGAGAGTATTGTGAAGCAATGCAGCATCAGCTAAATAATGCCGAGACAATGTTTGAAATAGTGTGCATCACCTGCTTTCTCCTTTCTTTTTATTTTACATGTTGACCAGGTACATTAAAAAGGCCACTGAGCCCGACACTGTCTTTTATGCTCCCATCACCCAAAGCCAAATCCTCCACAGTGAAAAAAATCCACACAACAACTTTTAAGTAGCAAATCAAATTTTCACAAAGCCTGCTGCACTGACCAAGCACTTGAGCAGACACACCACCAAACAATAAGAGCTGCATTATTCATCCCACACTCATTCCCGGATGTCTTTCTCAGAGAGGACAGAAAACGCTTGGAGACCCCTGGCTTCCCCATCCTCAAATGTATCAGGTTGCCCTGCCATCCCAAATTGGATGAACCACATTCTGACTAATGCATTACTCAACAACTCACTTGGAGCTATTTGGTTGTGAGTTTTATTTGCATAAACACATATTACGCGAAGGAAATAGGATCAAATCTTCCTCCGGACATGATAAACAGAATTAATTCGTGGTACTTAAATAAATCTGGATTTGCAATTAAAATACGCATGCATAAAAAAAAAAAAATAAAAATGCTTTAATGATACAAAACCGCAGCAGGAGCGCTTCACAGATTAATAGCAAACACACAAGCATGCATGGAGCATGTCTAACAGGAGGAGAGGAGAAAACAGGTCCTCTTCTTCATTTCCTTTCGGTTCGCCCCGTTACGAGTTGCCACTGCGAGTCATTCTTTTCCATCAAAGTCTATCTTCTGCATCCACCTCTCTAACACCAACTACTCGTCTTCCCACACTAAACCAATGTGATTCTGAGCCATTTAACCAAAACATTGGTCTGTGCATTGATTCACACACCTCTCATCTCGCCCCACAAACTGCTAGGCCACAGCCCAGTCTGATTTACCTACCAATTACTTTTGGCACCATGCTTCTTCGATTGGATGTCAAATGGTTCTTCGGCTCTGGAACTTCGGGCAACCCAGCTGCCAAGTCAATGGTAACGAAAACCAGCGTTGGGGTGGTGGTAATGTTAGCAGTGGCAGTAGCAGTGGGGCAGAAGTGCAGAACGGCTCGCTCACAAACACATTTTCCGAAATAGGCAGAGAAATATTAGCAAAAGATTTACTCGGTTGTATGATTTCACATGCGAGCTTTGACGGTGGAACTATTTGAGTTCCGTGGGTTCTGCTGTCTGTGTCGCATCTGTATCACTGACATCGCATGAGGGTAAAGGACCTGTGTTGCATTCCCAAGCAATCCAAAGTTCAGAGCAATTTTGAGAGCCTTTGTAAAACAACAGCAGCGAGTCAAGCAGCTAATGAAGTCCTTGTGCGAGTGCATTCCTTCCATGATGAGTGCAAACATGTGTTTCTGCGTGTCCAATCCGAATGTGCACGCTCTCACAAAGGCCTTTCGCTGATGCAATGACATCAACAGGAATGTGCTCATTTTTGTTTCTTGACATGCATCAGCACCTAAGTTCCTCCAGGTGTGGGAGTGAACCATTTTCATTTGTTTAATTTCAACTAAAACCTTGTGTAAGGGTGGGGAAAAGGCTATCAAATGACAGTGTGGACTTGGATAAAAGTTCCGTGTTAACATTGCATTAACCAAAGAATTGTACGCTGATCCAAATTGAGATTGCTTAGACTCAGCAGGGCAAAGACCTAGACCAACACCAAGTCCAGTATTTCTAATTTAACTATATAAATAAAGTCCCAAATATTAGAAATAGAGCACCTTTGTTTAACTGACACCTTTTACAAATTGACTCTTCTTCCACAGACAGTCTTGAATAGGGGCAGTGGCCAAAGCTTCAATCATCACAATTAATTAGGGGCCCACAAGCAAAACACAGTCATGCAGAAAAAGACAGAACTGTCTGTTCCCTTTGTGGCAAACAACGTGAGCGCTAAGTGGGCTTGTGAGGGCAGGGTATAGAGAGAATACTGATAAACAAAGACACGGTTTACTGCACATTTTCCCCTACTTGGTATTTTAATGGTGAAGAAGAATCTTCTAAAGGCCACTGTACTGAAATTCTTGCATTTGTCAGTCCAGTTTGGAACCTTGGGCTACAAAAAAAAAAGGCTGTTGGGTGACATCATGTGGCAGAATTAGGAGATAGTTATCTTTAGGTACCTTTATGTCACCGGGTAGTGAAAATCGATGGATGGATAGTACCGTCATTTTTTGAAATCTCATTTCAACAGAGATTTACCAACAATTTTCTGTGTGTAGTTATCGTTTGTGAAATTGAGGCTGGAAGATAGATCATTACGGAACACTGTGTCGTCTTCAGGCGCTAAGCTGTCGCCATCTTCTGGTCAGTACGAGAAGTGCTGTCTGTTATTCTATTTTCGTTCTCGAAATAAAAAAAACACTTTTCCTTACTCCGTTCAGACAACATAGGTGTAACGAAGCTGTATTTCATTTTCGGTGTTTCCATTTTAAATAGAAAATCAAATCATGAGTCTTTTTTTTTCCCTTCTATTTTTACTGTTTCCAAAGGTAACATCTAGTTCCCGGTACCAAACGAGACACGAACCTACCAGGATGATGCGGTCATATACATCGCTTTAAACTGCAAGAATAACAATCTTAGTGCTTTGCAATTAATTCCTCACTGACATTGCAAATAGAAATTAAGCCTTATTATCTTTGTTAAGACTGATTTTAGGAAATAATTGGGCGAGTGCTGTGTACAGCATTTGCATGTTGAGAAACAGTAGTGACTTGCTCCTTTTCAGCCCCCCCCCCCCAAAGAATTCACTCCACCACGAAATGTGAATTTAAGCATTTTTATTTTCACTGTAACGTACATATAACTCATGTGGTTCGAGAAAAGAAAAAAAGCAAGTAGCAAAATATTACATGACAAATTGGACCAGTAAACCCCACTGTTGTCAATAAATCCATCACGGTACAATATGTCAGATTGCAAAAACTCTAGGGACATTTGTAACTTCAAAAAAATTTTTTTTTTCATTTGGAATAAAAACATATATACTGCATATCATATCATACACTATGGAAAGCAAAGCACATTTGCAGATTTTTTTCCCCCCAAAACATGACGCCAAGTTATGAGCTATGGCATGTCCCTTAAATGTCCCAACTCTTAACAGAAGGCACTGCACATTCTTGGAGGGCAGCAAAGGATTCACAGATGAAAACTGTGCAATTGCCTTACGATAGGTGATGCCAGGTTTTCATCAGAATGCGTCCAATTGCTCGACTCTTCTTGCATGTGTCTTTCACTTTACCCCTTCAAAGAAATATAAATTGTAAAGTATTTGCCAGCAAATACCCACGTCATTGAGTCTTCAGGATGAGTTAGCTGGCTTGGTTTGCGGTTTCAGTCAGAAGCGCACTTTAATTATTCATACTAACTCTGTGACCATGTTCAAGCTGAAACGTTTTGTTCCATGTGTCCAGGCTTGCAGGTATTGCTCAGTTAACTGCGGCAATAAAGGTCACTCACCACAAGTTACTAGAGTATATTAACCTAAGCACAGAATCAGACGACAAGAGCAGCACATTGACGAAACTGGAATGGAAAGCTGATTGACCATGGTAAAACGAGTACCTACGGTAGAGTACTTGAACGTTGTTTAAGACTGCTTCGCCTTATAATCAATATCCATCATTAGAGCATCAATGTCATCAAATGTGAAGAATTATCTGTTCCAAATGCTTAATTGTGGTCATTGGGTTGCCCAGTTTGAGGAAATATTTCACATTTGGCTTTTTCAAGATTATACTTGTACCTTGATTTTATTATTTTGTCACTGGCACCGGCATAAGCCAGAAACTAACATGGAATTCCTGAAATGTGATGCAAACATTCTTGGCCTGCCTATAAGCCATTCTTGTCAACAAGTATATAAACACAATGGATATCCTGAAATGAAATGGGGGGGGGGGGGCATAAAAAAACAAAACAATACAACTTTGGCACATCTCATTGTGCAGCAGGTAGAAAACTTAGAGCTGAGTGCTTTAATATAATAATTACATTCAACACTGAAGAAAAAAACAACAGTCTTACAAAGACTAACATTTATGTCAAAGGCTTGAAGGACAGACACGCTTCAAATCAAATATTTGATGAACTCCTTTAAGTGGTGTGTATAAGAAGTTTGCATTTAAACAGTGGCCAAAATCAAGACTGCCGTCTGGAAGTTGCCTTTTGGTGAACTGGACAGTTCCTATTGTTTGCTACTAAAAATAAAAACAAACACGTTGGCATTTGCGGCAATATTTCGACGTGTTGTGATGATTTCTGAGGTATTTCTGGTCGAATGTTTTCAAACGCTTCTCTCTGAAATGAGGGGCTGAAACAATTTCCGAGAAGGGAAGAATGAGGGGTGGCTCATACAAGTTTTAAAATCTGTAGAAGGCAGCAGCTGAACATGTAAACAAGAAGAATGCCATGGCGTGAACGTGATGGCACATCCAGGGACGGACGGACAGGGAGGAAAGACGAGGCCGAGTGATTACAAGAGGGAAGTTATTCCGAGGATTCATCAAATCTGACATCGGGCCAGACTCGACGGTCTCACACAAGTGTCTCCGGTAGCGTGTCTGCGCTGTCTGAAGAGAGCAGCTGCCATATTTGCCAGCGGTCCCGCTGCCAGTCCTGCCACTCGGGGCTGTGCGGCATCACGGTCCCATCGGAGTTTTTCTGCTCGGCACCTGATCTCTTGTGCTGCAGGGGGTGCTGCTGCGCTGCGGCAAGCCCAGGTGAACTTTGGCAAACGGCCAGGCGGTGATGAGCGTTATAAGGAGGAGGGAAGCGGCCGCTTTCGTTAGCGTTTACCCAGCCTTTCAATCCCGATGACGTGCAGGCTCCGTGGGCGTGCTCGAGGACCTGCGCAGACCGATCGATGGCCGGCTGCAGGTGAGAGCTCGTGCATACGCGGGTCAGCGGCAAGTGGGGTCTGCACTCAGCAATGCCAGGCAGCGTCCTAGTCGGCGGCGCCATCAGCTGGTGTCTGCTGTCACCATGGAGTACATCAAGTCCTTCCTGTGAGCTGCGGGAGCTTCCCTCGGACACGTTGCCATGGGAACCTTCAGAGCAAACAGCCACAGTATCAATGCAACTATTGCAAAAGTTCTAGCTTCGGTCCATTTCGGGTGTGTTGGTCTGCAACAATTGTTTTTTTCCTGCGCACTACTACCAATGTAATCATATTTGCAGTAGGCAACTTTTAATCATTCCCCATAACAAAGCCTTCTTATGCGGACTGCCCAAGATTCTAACTTTGCAAATCATTCTCAAGTCAATATATCACCTGATGGAATTAATAGTGCTCCTTTTTGTGGTGGAGTAGAATTTGACTTGCAGACAGAGTAGGAATTTTCAGGCAGGGAGCTCACCTGTAAAAGTCTGGTCCTTGAGTGCTGGTTTGAGAGTCGTGTGCCACGTACCCCAAATGTTAGCATGTTCCTCCGAGATACAGTCTCAAGGAAGGAAAAGAGAAACAAGGTCAAACAACGGCATGCGGCAACCTTAAGGTCAAGAGAAAGTCAGATGTTTGGTCCGAGATTTAGAGCTCACCTGCTCCCACCCTGCCGTCGGCTCCTGACTCCCCGGCCCAGCCTGCCATCAGTGTACCGCCTGGCTTCCCTGTGTCCCCTCTACGTTCGCTCAGGATGGGGGAGTTGTTGTCATAAGGGGACACCTCCCCGCTGGACGGCTTGTTGGAATCGCTGGAGGAGTGGCGTTCGCTCAGAGTGAAGGGCTCCTCAGAGTGGAGTAGATCGGTACTCCTGCAGGGAAAAGCAAATTAGGCTGAAAGACGGGTCGAAACCGGAGGACAAAATGACATTGTGCGTAACTCACTGTGACGCTTTTCGTCTCAGGAGGTAGTCCACCACATCGGGGTCCGTCTCCAGCAGACTCATTAAAACTTCATTTTGCAGGTCAGGCGGCACCTAAACAAGAAGCAACTTGAATTAATTCAATTGAGATTCTGAATCTCTTTTGTGCTCAAGGCCAACAATTGAGGAAGGCCAATACCTTTGTGTCTTTCCTGCGTTTTTGCCCCATTCTTAATAAAATCTGACTCAAACTAATCTACAAAAGAACCTAAGGATGTCATCTCCCCAGCCCCATCTCTCCACCAAATAAACATAAAACTCCTGCTCTTAGCAGATCCGAAGAGGTCTGATGCGATTAATTGGCTTACTGTAGGAATGTAAGCCTAAGGGGAGTGGCAGTGGCAGATTACAAAACATTACAGTTGAACGTTTCGGACCTAAAATGACCTGAGCTGTCTGTCTGCACTGTTGGAGAATCCCGAGAAGAGACAGGAACAAAGCAAGCGAAGAAGAA